TGCGATTTGCACTTGTAAACACGCACGCATACACGGAGGCGAGACGCGACGCTTTTTCGCATGTGTGCACCGCGATCACTCGTGCACCCGACGAATGAATCTTTCATGGAACAACTTCGTCATTCGTTCCGTGAATTATAAACTTTTAAAGGTCCCGAAGAAATCCTTGGAAAATGCATGAGACTCGTAAATGTTTTCCGTTATTAATGGCTGGACCACGGATTTCATGCGTCCATGGTAAAATCGAGTAGCTGCGATTTGCAAATGGACGGGAAATTAAAGAAATTCAGAAATGTTAATGTATTATCTTTGATCCGTTGATATGATTAAAGAGAATGACTGGCGTATTACTTTCGATCCATTAACATAATTAAACTTTCTATTTCTTGAAATTGGTGCACACAATTTTTATACTGCACAATAATCCGCAGTCTATTAATGCTATCCGCAGTTTGCAAACTGAACCACGGTCAATTTTCTTCCGTGGCTCGCGCATTAATGACTGCGGAGAGTAAGTGAAAACGGGGCTATCCTTCGCTTATATATTTGTGGTGGAGGTCAAGGTTATGTCAAGTCTATTAATGCTGACCGAAGTGGTAGAAACATTCCTTGGATTTCTCTAAATTGATGCAAAGATACGCGTAACGGTAGACGATAACATCGCGTCAAAAGGAAATTAAAAATGACGTCACAGTGCTACGAACTTGTCAAGTACGTATTTAATTCATATCTCAGACAATCGATGCAGACAATTGTTATTTTGCGCTGAGAGATTCTATTCTAGTCCGACTGAGTATTTTCATTCTTAACGCGTTGATCACCGACTCGCGATCAAACATCACATAAACCCGACGACATTAAAGCAGTTTATTTGACAGCGCAAAGACGGTAAAATTACACATCATATTATTAACACCAAACGATGTCTAACAGTGACCGGTATATATCGTCTTATCAAGACCGAATTCACCTAGATTTCTTACAATTTTTATAACGTGAATGTTCATTCTTGTGAACTTGACATTCCACAGTTTTCAACAAATTGAACAGCTCGTGACGAATTCAATCGTACAGAGCGAAACATGTCGGAGATCTTCATTCTCGTTAACTTAACACTCCATAGATCTAGAAAAGTTAATCGCGTTGTCAGTCGCACGGAACGAATAATTTAAACAATCTCACGACGGGAGAAAATCAAAATCGAAAATCGAAGGTTGAAATCGAAATGAAAACCGCATGAACCGACCTATAACCTTACAACAGTTATAAGTAGACCGCGGAATTTTGTGCTCGATAAAAATGTTCCAAGACGATCGTTAGAATCGGCGATTAAATGAAAATCGATTGTTCCTTGCGATAATTTTGTTACGCTAAGAATAAAGCGCGACAAAATATCGTGAAAAATTTTCTCTTTGCGTCTTTACAATTTTATATAAATATCTCGGCGACTCATTTTTGCCACGAGTGCATAAAATCCGCGAGTCTAGTTGCGGGAGTGCCCATAAACTGTTTGAGGAACCGAAACCGATATCATAACAGTTTCCAACCCCTGATTCGCGAGAGGCAGAACAATGTTCGGGGAAAACGGTGGCGCCAATGAAAGGCGAGGTATATCCAGGAGTTTCCGTGACGGGGAGATCTGAATCGCGTAAATTCAGAGGCTGAAACCCATTATCGAGTTTCCCCCGCGGCCAACCGACCCCCTCCCCCGTTCAACCCCCGTTCATCCCCCGTTCGCAAGCTCGCTGACGGAACCGTAGGGAGGAGGAGCCTTTCATCCAATGCTGCGGGTGTCGGGGCGCGACTGTGAAGCGAAGGCAATTATCGTAGCGAAACTTGAACGTGGCGGCTTCGAGGTTGGTCGACGCCGAGACTCACAACGGTGTGGGAGTGAGTGTTTGGCGTCTGATACGACGGGTCAGGTCCCGGGGGATTCTCAGGGACTCAAACGGGACTATCCCCGGCGCTCTCGTCGCAGTTAATTACGGAGTCCTCCTCCTCGTTCTCCTTCTACTCCATTTCCCTTAGCCCGGCGACTCCTTCCTTGAGCCCGTATCACTATCGGGTCTTCCTCTTCATTGTTGGACGTTGACCTCTCTCTCCTCGCAGCCCTTTTTCATGCCTTCCGGTACGCCTAATCGCCTCCCGATCGAATTATGCGTCCGTTAGATTTACACGAGCGCACGTGAAATCGCCGATTTCTTCAGAATCTTCTTCATCTTTTCAAGCTTATCGATTAAATGGATTTTAACGGTAAACCAATCACGGTAATAAGTACCCGTTTCTTATTTAATATACTTGTATAAATTCCATTGTGATAAAAACTTCACGAAATCTAGACGATTTCGATCCTCTCGCTTTTATGAGGCAATGGAAGTTGATGCAGATGATTTTGTTTGTGCATGAAGTATGCTGTCATTGTTCTTAAATGATTGCTTTTTATAGATTATTTCATTGCTCACGTTGCTGTGAGATGATAGACAGTAGAACCTGGATATTTGAATTCATTGTTATTTAAACGTGTTGCACCATAGCGTGCTGCATCATAGATCGAGGTAAGGCAAATGTACATAGAACTCAATTTGTTGTGTCAATCAGTAAAGATTTAATCTAGCACTATTTGGTTGAGTAACTGTGCTTTTTTGGGTTGTTCGATATGTAACTTCGTTTTTTCAACAAAATTTCGTTTTGCTAGGGTGTCAAGCACTTGCCAATAAAAACCAAGACTCCAACGAGCAAGACTTCTAGCAAAATGTTGAAGAAGTGTCGACATCGCTGAATCTGCCATAGATTTGAAAAATTGATCTATGGTCTTCTTTCGTTGTTTTAATGGTGTTTCGAATGAAAGTTGCACAGCCATCTTGACAATAATATAAAATAAATTTTACACAAAAATTTTATAAGACCGAATTTGTTTCTCATTCTTGTTCCATAAAATCGCCAAAAAACAATCGTACAACTTAACTTCAATCTTCGAAGCTATGTCAGATTCAATCACGAAAAACTGCATCAGATCGCGACATTTTTAATAGTCTTCTAACAAACGTATAATAAGAATAAACTTACTCGAAAGAGAATGAACGATGAATTTTGCGTTTGAAATTTGAACGCTCCAAAATGAAATTGCTCTCAAAAACTACGTTTGTTGTCGTCTAATTCTTTGGCACGAAATTATAACATTTTCAATGATGTCCCCGTTACATCATGGATTCTGGTTATAAAAAACCACAACTTTTCACTTCCCATCATAAACTAACATGATATTGGATCGTTGTGCACAGAGTAAAGTATGCAAGTCATATTTAATGACCTAAAAAATGATTTTACTTCCAATCTTTCAATTCCATGAAATTGAATCGCGAGTCAAGGTTTTTTAGATATTGCGAACTTTTTGAAAATGGTAAAGTGTTGAAATACTTTTTGGCGGCACTGTAAGTGGCTTCGACAATCAGTGGACGGCAGAGAGTATCCCCCTGTGGGAATTCGAGCGAGCGAATCGTAGCGGGATTGAACGCTTGAAATGGAATAATATCCAATAATCTGGCGGCTGAGAGAACGGGATAAAAAGGGACGTTTTATCAGAACATCGCAGTAACCGAGCGGTGCCCGACCATTTCCGCTGGCAACAGTTCGCTGGTCCGTCCGTCCGTCTCCCCCCTGGCGAAATTAATTATTGATTTCGGATACGGGCGTTCACAGTCCGAAAGCTTTTAATCGAAAACGAACCATCCGTCGCGTTCGTTTCCGTTCGCATGCGAATCCAACAGCGACAAGGTCCGGGAGCTTATGTGTGCGCCGCCTTTCAGAAAAATACCACTTCCGTAGATAAAATGGCACCGACTGGAGAACACCCCTATTGTCGATCCGTAGATTTTTACGTATTATGTTACGAAATTATTGCGCGGTTTTCTCGCGACCAAAAACAGATTAGTATTGCGAATGTTACGGAGAAACATATGGTCATCCTCTTTTTAGTTATTCCATGGGGTATTCCAATCTTATTCCATTCGAGTAAAATGGTCGGAGTTCTTAATTAAAATACTCTGTGATCGATGTCAATTTTGTTGCTTCGTTAGAGAATGCGGAAATTGCAAAATTTTCCAAATTCATAATTTTTTTAAAAGCTGTCGCGATTCGAAATCCCAGGCCATTTCAAAGTCATTTCTTCTTTTAATTCGTTCAAATTGCCATGTGTTCCTCTGAATTAGTAAATAATTAATTGTACTAATACAACTGCATAATTGTGTGCAGTTCTTTATAATTTGTTTTACTAACGCGTTTCGTTGCAGTTAATTTGAAAAATGTTTGAAATTTGATCACGTAAACGTGCTGCAAGCTATCTATGATATTGAATTAAAGAATTATGAATGTACCTCGGAACATGTTCGTTCACGAAAATACTTGAACAAATCGAAACGATGTAAAAATATAACTTACGATGGAGGATTTACTGTAATGTACGCGTGATCAATAATCGATCGATGATTTTCAAGTGTAATTTATTAAAAAAAAGTCAGAACTTTCTGAACAATGTAATATGGTGAGATAAAATTGGAAAATGTCCTAAAAATATTGTTTTATTCTTTGGAAGTAAGCAAATATCTTCGTGAACGATTGCACATAGTAACTTTACGAAAACACTGTACTATGAACAAGTATACGAGTAATATGAAAATAACAAATATAAACCATATAGACTAAAGAGAAATAAAATCAAAAAGCGTGAAAAATAAAATATATAAATATAAACACACATGAACATAGTACACGAATGAATGATCGAATAGGTTGAACACGATCTTTTATTACTAAGGATAGAAAAAACAGTTATAGGATAGGAAGTAAAAACCTTGAGAAAATGAAGCTTTTCTGAATCCTTCACCCGTTAATGGATATGGATGGGATTGGACCGGAGGTATTGGATCCTGATCTTAACGAATCATCTCTTGACGGTTGTAGGTAATCGATTAACTAAATTAAAAGTTGAAGAAACATATGAATCATGTACATATTAATGTAATTGAAATGAAGTTTAAGTACTACTTTATAAATGATACGACCATGATTAAATTCGACACTGTGATACCAAAAAGAAAGTTGATTTCAATGTGTTAGATTCTATGCACAAACATAGAAATTGGGAATTCGTGTAAAGGATTGATTGATATTATTAAACCTATTTCTTTACTATCATTAATTCTGTTTTAGCAAAGAAAAAAAAAAGAAAAATATAAAACCATTCATTGCATAGAAATTACATATTCTTTATGTGAAAAACGTATGTATAATTTGCAATTATACAGCATTCATATTTCTGCTGCAAGTATTTTCATGTACCAATGTCAATTAATTCAACATGTATATTAAACATTATAGGGTTTAAGCAATGTCTTTAATCACCTCCTGTAATTCAGGTTTTGTAAACATGTGAAATAGTTTCTCAGGTGTCATTGTCATTACTTCTATGTTAGTGTCGTTCAGTTTCTCTTCCATGACCTGCTTCAATATTTTTAAGGCAGCTTTGATTGCTTCTTTAAGTGTCATAGACTGAAATCAATAATAAAACAATCAAATAACATTTTTGTCATTTCTGCTATAATCAGTTATTTGCAGCACAAAATATTAATGGATAATTATAATATACTTCTTGTACTTACCTTGTGATATACTTCTTGTAGATTTTGTTGTGCACCTTCGCTTCCTGAACCGATGGCTTTTGCGTCGAACTCGATGAAAGTGCCTGAGGGATCTATGTGATATAATTGAGGTCCTTTTTCATCAATTCCAGCAAACAACATTGCTACACCAAATGGTCTGGACATAGCACCGCCGTCATCATCTCTATCTCCAAATCGAATAGCTAAATTCGATACTGCCTGTGCGGTGGATTCTACAGACATCTTTTCGTTGTAAACAAACCAATGGTTTTGACATTCTGCTCTAGCACGATCGATCATTGTCCTAGAGTCAGCTATTAAACCAGATGCAGCACATCCAATATGCTTATCAATTTCTACAATTTTTTCTACCGTTGTAGGCTCCATTAAAGAAGAAGTTATACGCTTTTCAACGGCTAACACTACTCCCTCAGATGTTGCAATCCCAATGGCAGTAGAACCAAGTTTTATCGCTTCTATAGCATATTCAACTTGGAATAATCTCCCTTCTGGGGAAAAAGTGTTAACACCATGATCATACTCTGAGCGTGTTAGAAACATCTGAAAGTAAAAGTACATTCATAATTAAAGATTATCCCACGTTAAAATAGATATTCGCCAGTGTTTTATAAAACCAACTACAATTGATTCGTAATGTTTATCGTACTGATTACAGTTAGACACAAAGTTTTAGGTTATGATATATCATTTTATGTATAAACAAAGTTATTATTACTTTAATAACAATGTGTACGAGTGACACATTTTTAATATAATTCACATCATATTTCTGGAACAATTTTAATTTAAAAATGAATGAAATATTCAGTATGTACCTAAATAGGTGTGAGGTTAGATTGGAATGACATAGCAAAACGATCAGATTTACTTTACTGACAAGTAAACACAAAGAATTAAATCTATTTTTTTATTTAATTCATTTCTTAAACAATAAGGATGTTTACCTTCAAGTTCTTCCTTCACTTCTGTTTAAGTTCCTCGAAAATTATTTTAAGCCGACTTGACAAACGCTAGTCACGGAGGGACTTGAATTTAATGGCGGGGATAAATCCAGGGACGTGATCTTCGTTCGTGGTTCCTTGTACCAGGTAAAATCTGCTAACTTCAAGTGTACAATGATTTTACATATTTTATGCACTGTTACACAGTTTTTTTTGTTAAACATTTTATTTTCTTTCTAACAATATTTTTAATTAATCGGAAAAAGCTATACAAGTTGACATCAGTTTTTAACTTTTATAGAATTTTCCGAAGAAAATACATGCGATATGAACTTAATATGGACGAACCGAATTTACAGCGACGTAGACAGTTTTTGTGTGTTTTGTCTATGGTTTATAGTATGAATTGTATTTGAACAGGGTGGCCGAATTGTAATGAGTAAAATAGTTTATAAAATTCATTGTAAATGAATTTGTCAGTGATTTATTATAATGAATACTAGAAATATTGATCTTTTACCTCAATTTGAATCTGCTTTTACTGAACAAAAGTGGGACAAATTGTTAACCCTCCTTAACCCTAAATCGTTTGGAACTCTTCAATCGGAGTATGATTTCAAATATTATATGAATTTGAGATATTAATTAAATTTAACAAATCGTTAAATTTTCAGGGAGGTGATAGCTTTTCCAATCGTAGCCAAAACTGCAGAAATTCTTACAACAAAAGATCTTCATGTCCCGAACAATATAAAGATCGCATGTTTGAAATGCTTGGGAAATACTTGTTTTAATGCCTATACACATAGGGAATATAAATCAATTGATATTCAACCTGGAATGTGCTGTCATGAATTATATTCCAGTTTAGTTACAAACAATGGAAGTTTGAAACACATAGGAAGCTTAAATTCTTATCCATTCCATTCACATTTTCCTTATGAAGGAATTATAAAATGGACAACAGACCTCATCAAGTCGTGTAAAATTGACGAAGATACAACAGACGAACAAATAGAAATACTTAGATTAAGTATTCAATTTTTATGCAATTTATTCTCATTTGCATACAAAGATAAAAGCTCCCTGGATGAACATAATATTCCCAAATTTTTATGCGACCCTACTTTGAAAGATATAATAAGAAATTTAACTCAGTCAGAGCATACTCCACTTGTTAGAGTTTCATGTATATTTATTCACAACGCCTTGAAAGAATTCCAAGGTCAGAGTTTTACGAACCAAGAGAAAATCCTATTGTGTTCGCAACTTTTGAAACCAATTAAAGAAGGCTTCGATAGTGCAAAGAAAGCTCTGATGAATCTAATTTGTCAAGCAGATGTACTAAAGAATGCATACAATGATTTAAGTGTTGAGGATAGATTATATTTATTGGAAATGGTATATAGTGAAATCTCTGATGCCTTCTATAGTTCTAAGGAGGAGCTTCAATTTACGGAAGACATATTTCTATTTCTATCTGAAAGATTTTGTAAAATGAGTGACTTAATCTTGAAAACCGCTGATTCGTACTTAGACAATATGGAGCCAACAGAAATCATTATCCTTCTTGATATTCTTGGGTCTGTGACCTCTGCATCATACTTAAAGGATAATAGATCTTTACTTATTAATTGTACATGTAATTATGCTTGCATCTAAATGTTTACTTCCACAATTTAGCAAATACCTAACAGTGTGTGTTTCACAGATCTTTTGAAATCTATACAGGAGATTGGGAAAGCATCAAATAACTACTTCACTCCGATGCAAAAGCTTAGCGATGTAGCTCAAATGATGCAAAATTCCAAAATCAATGAATCAGAAGAAAATCCAACCATGGAGAAACTTCAGAAAACTGAAAACAAAGGAACAGAAGAGAAGAGAGATTTAGACGGTCACCCTGCTTTTGGTTTCAAAGCCGGGTTGATAAGAATTATTGGAAATATGGCGCACAGGAACGAAAAGCTTCAAGACCTGGTAAGTACAAATCTGTTTCACTCGTTTTTAGATTAAAAAATAAAGGATGCTTAAAATCAGGCAATTTTTAGAATTTTCTTTTTAAGAAAACTATAAAGTGATGATTATTAAAACTTTCAAGATATTTTAGTTAATGTTCAAGGAATAAGTTTTCATTCGTTCCATCAAAAATATCTTTAATGTCTAAGCCCCTTGCAAATAATAGTCCGAGTTTAATAAAAATCAAGGTAAATAAAAATCATACCATATGCTCCAGATGTTTAACAATACCTAAGAAAATTGTTCATTATTTGGGTATTATAAAAAAAGAGTATGAACGCAATAACGACTGTAGGAAAGCAATCGCGTTACCCTCTGTCGGCACAGCGAACACCATCCGAAGATCACGTTCTAGATCATGCGACCCGTAAAGTGGCGCCTCTATGCGAAAGCGGTGATCCATGCAACTGCTACGTAGAATTCTATATCGATGAGAGAAATCCTGGTAAGAAACAGACGATTGGGCAAGGAAGCTCTTGAACCTCTTACAAGCCTCGTTCGCTTTCTGTAGTCTCGTCTTTCAGACAATTATTCATTCATCAACCGGGTCCATGTAAGACCGCTCCGCTCCATAGATCATTCTCTGACACCTGAAAAAAAAGAGAGAGAAAGAAGAAATGAAAAAGGATGGACGTTCAGTTGTAAATAAGGTTCTCGGTGCTCGGTTTTTATCGCGCCTTATGCGTACAGGGTCATGAGTGATCGCCATTGCCCCTTATTGATTTCATCTCTTCTACGACGGAGATAGGGTACAAAAGAATGAGCGGATCGCGCGTTGCGCACTGTTCAGCCGCGAACAAAGGAAAATTAAGTATCCTGTCCGGCGTCGAAGACGCGGCAATTTGGCTGGCATCGGATACCACGTTAATATATTAGCGGGATCGAAGTACGACCGCTTTCTGTTACGTTCGAATAATTTTATTGGCACGGCCGCAGAAGCGCGAATACGAGGTCTCGATGCTGTTGCCGGCTCGGCTGTTTCTTCTTCCTCCACCACCGCTTCTTTTTCCCTCGGGTCTCTTTGTGTTTTTATTTGTCCTTTTCCAGGTGTCGAAGGCGATCGTGTTCTTAAATTTCGTTCTGTAAACACGCGTACCCGGCCGTTCTTCATGCACGGTCGCGAAACGCTTATGGTCGCGCCGCGATCGCTCGTAAAATTACGCGCGCCGATCTTCTGTTACAGTGTTAACAGATTCCCGGCGTGTTCGCGACTTGTTTCGCTGGGAGCAGTCGCGATAATAACACTCCTGTGCGCTGGCACGTTTATGACAACCAGCCGATCATTTTCGAGAGTTTATTTCGCCTTCGATCGCCGTCGATCGATCCTTTTTTCTTCCTTCCTCGATCGTGATCTTGAACGCGATCCTCGATTTTGCAAAAGTTTCGTCGATGGGCGAAAGTGCAACGACTGCAGCATGAGATACGCGCAGCTCTCGCATTCTTACCTGCTAATCGGCGAAATATACGGTAAATTCTCCCAAATTGTTCATTTTTGTGTTCAAGTCAAGGGTCAATTAGGGAGAATTTACTGTAGTTAATGGAATCAGAATATAAATACGTTGAAAAATTTACTGACTCGTTTTGGTCAATTTTACTAGGCTTTGCAGGATCTAAACAAATTGGAGGAGTAGTCACTAGACTGCGGATTTTATGCATTTACAAAAATAAATAAATAAATAAATATGTCAATTACAAAACTGTAAAAATTTGAGAAGAATTCAACCGTACCGATCATATTATTGTCGACGTATTGAAATGGTTAAAAGAAAAAATGTATTTTCACTTTACTTCTGTCTCGAACAATCGACACATACAAATCCGCAGTCTAGTAAACACTGTCTTGACACTAGAACTACCAGACGGTTCGAAATGACATGACAATTTCGTCCGCAATTATTAAAACCATCAAAATGTTTTCGCGTGAAATCTCTGAGCGAACTCATCTATTGAAGTACACGTAACAATAAAAATTACACTGCGCTTCAGCAAATGCATTCCTGTCGTTATTAGACATGTATAAAGCAACATAAATCTGTCGTGTCTGATGCTCGGTACATTTACTGTTAAATTATAACTTTTCGTTTTCCTAGTGCCGCTCCTGTTAAAAAATATTCCTACACGGAAAAGAAAACTTATATTTATTGTATACGTACGTTTGTTAGCTAAGCATTAACAACAAACAACAATAGAATATTGTCCGAAATCTTCACCATCGATGTGACAATTTTACTCTCTAGCAACGAATTATGTTTGACTCGTAATCTCGTAGTACAAAAGAAATAACGTCCAATGCAATTGAAAACCTGGAGAAACAAGCATCAGAGCACCTGAATTAGTTATTTAGCTATTTAAAATAACTAGAAGCAACTGACAATATTATTTACTATTTGAAAGCTTCGCTGCAATTCGACCTAGTTTTTCTATCCATTTCAATCACATTTCGTTCGCGTTACGTCGAAACCAACAAAATTCAAAATTCTAGAGGATCGAGTGTCACGGTAACCAAATTGATTTGTGGACAACATGGCGCTCGGTTGACAAATATTAGGTCTACCGAAAAGTTCTGTCCGATAGTGTCACTTCAAGTTTCAATCCATATGCACATGTTGATTTGAGACATATATGACTATCTCTCTTTATCATTGCATTTACGCGCATGTACTCTCCCAAATAAACTGAAACAAAGATGTCTCATGTCATTATTAAGCGAGACGCGATCGTGAAAACATGGCTACCGATGATAATGCCAGACCACATGCTGCTTCGGCGACTCGTCAGAAAATCGCAGAGCTAGGCTGGGAAATTCTGTCGCATCCACCGTACTCCCCAGACCTAGCACCCTCCGATTATCACTTGTTTCTCTCTTTGCAAAACTTTTTACAGGAAAAAAAATTCAAAACTGAAGCTGATGTCAACCAAGCACTAGTCGAGTTCTTCGCCTCTAAAACTAAATCATTTTTTAAATATGGCATTTACAAGTTGCCATCACGCTGGCAAGAAATCATAAGTAACGATGGAAAGTATATTTTATAATAAAAATATTATTAAATGTATGAAAATTGTGTTATATTTCAATTCAAAAACGGACAGAACTTTCCGGTAGACCTAATATAAGGCGAGCGAACATGTTCTGATCGCGCGTTGTTCCTGGTCGTCGCGCGGATTTTACGCGGCGTCAAGGATTTTTACATGCGACGTAATAATCGTGTAATATTTAATGCGTGCTCGGCTGTGGCCGGGGGCATAAGTTGTGACGACGTTTGGATGGTTTTCAGCTCCGTGAAATGGACGTGATACCTCTGCTCCTGGACTGTTGCAATATAGACGCGAGAAATCCCCGTAAGTATATATTGCCGATTCGGTTCTACGTGGTTTATCATATATCGTGATTACCGTCTGCGTCGGCCGAATGATATTTTAACCAATTAACGGCGGCTGTTCCGCGACACGATTAAATTTTCTTTAACGCCCAGTTATAATGCAATGGACGATCTTCGCGGTGCGGAATTTATGCGAGGCTAATCCGGGGAATCAAGAGATCGTTCGGAATTGCTCCAGGATCGGAGTCGTCGAGAACAACGTGCTGCAAGAAATGGGCATGACGCTGCACGAGGACGAAACTGGTCGGCAAGTTGGCGTCGTGCCTCTGGTTCGTCACGAGTAGACTGCCAATTGGAAACGTTTTCCACCCAGGCTAACCGAATATAACATAATATATTCGATTGTTCTAATGTTTTTTTAGTATTTTAACCCTTTGCACTCGAAGCCATTTTAACTGTAAATCTGAATTAATTTTTCCGACTTATGGTATTTCCATTTTATACGACAAAGTGCATTCTACGCGTATGAAATCTATAGTTTCGCGACTCGTATAACAGTTAGATTTTTAACAATTTTTTTACGTCTAGACTTTTATAATATAAAAATTATCTTGGAACGTGATGTAACAATTTTTTAATGGCGCCTCAGAGTCACCACTTGAGTGCAAAGGGTTAAGTTTCAGCTGTTCCTTTCTATTTGCCTATTCATATATCACTAGTCTACTGTAAAAACGAGATGTACGAAATGGCATTATATTAATGAACATCTTTATGCGGAATAGAAGTTTTGCAGATCAGTTGCAAAATAATTTGCTTTAATAATTTTCATTGAATTAAATAAATTGAAATTAGTACACCAACGTTCTTAGCTTCTTCGAAACTCGTCGATGTTTCAAGCTTCATACACCTATTTCTCGCCATAATCGCATTTTCGCAGTCTGATAATGAATCTATTGGGATAAAAGTAGACAATCCTACGAATAGAAAATTATACTCTAGTGCCTTTTATTTACACGATCCATCCAAAAAAAAAGTAAAACGCTAGTGTTTATGTTGTAACGTACTCGCCACGAACTTGAAGCAACAATGCAGGAGAAATATTACACAAAGCTATTTAATCCTTTTGGATCGACGAAATCGTACGAACACGAAAATGTTCGGAGTTCGATTTTCATAGCGGCAACTAAACCTAAATGACCGTAAATCTTCGCGCGAAATGAAAACGTTGTGCATCAGTTGTGCAATGAACAGCTATTCAATGGCGATTTATTTCTCGTAATTGACAAGTTGAATTGGAATAATGCAACAGGTCTTAAATTCTCCCGACGTTTGTACGGTTCCGTGTAAACCCATAACAATCGTAACAAATAAATCGAAGTTATTCCACGATCTCCAGAAAGCGAATAAAACGTTTTGCACGAAAACACGAAGATCATGATCCCTGTCCCAATCGTCCATCGGCGTTCGCATAAAGCTCGACGATCGCTTTTCTCGCGAACACGATCGCCGGCCGTGTGCGATTACACAGCTCCTGTTAATTATTTGACTATTTACTGGCGTGCGACCGTACGTGCGCCTACTATCAATAGCTCACCGGTATCGGTGATCTCTTTATCGCGAGTTAGGCGCAATAATTATTCGAGGGTTAGGCCGGCCGCGCGCGTATCCGCGCCGCGTGTCGACGGTAAAATAAGCCTGCAATTATAGCGTACATGATAGGCACCATTACATGAAATATGATATCGTATTGCATAAAGAGACATTATATCTGCATTCATGGCCGAGTGATTTACGGTACAATGAGAGCCGCCGCGGAGTTCACGGTCTATTAGCAGTTACAAATGCAGCTGCGCCGGCCTGTGTATCGTAATCGTCATGCGAATCCGTTTTTCAACGTGAATCCGCCGAGCGTGATCGATCGTCGACGCGAAACGACGCAAAGCGGCGATCACGGTCCTTAACTTTCTAGAGCACCATGATTTTTCGGATCTGTAAAGCTCGACGTTGGGTCTACCGGACTCGTTAAAATGACCGCGTGCGATTGATAACATTTTATTGGGTTGGCAACTAAGTAATTGCCGATTTCAGTTATAGATGTCTCTCACTCCCATTTTTATGATATCCGTAAATGTTATATTATAAAATTATTATTATTATTATTATGTTATTTTTTATTATCCGTGAATGTTAGCAACTGGACAAATTGAATGCAGCGGTCAAGGAAAAG